CGCATGTTCTATGGCCTTTTTTGTAGCAAGAGGGAATGGAGATAGAAGATAAAGTAGCGACAAGAGAGACGGGAGAGAATACACCATACCTAGCGGGGGGTTGAGAAGGACGAGTCGACTGACGAAGAGTGGTGGAAACTGTAGCAGGACTAGGCTCTAAGTCAATATCATCGATGACGACGACGTTCTTAAACAAGACTAGGTTTAAATCTTTCCACAATTGATGGAGATTCGAAGAAGCTAGGCAGAAGAGAGAACGATAGAGACGGTAGTACAACATGAGATGGAAAAAAATATTGAGATTCAAAGAAAACCACATTCCTAGGAATATGAATACGTTGAGCATGTGGGTCATAACAAACATAACCTTATTGAGAGTTAGCGTAACCAAGAAAAGCACATTTAACTGATTGAGCGGTAAGTTTATGCGGTAAGTTTATGTCGCTCATGATCAGAGAGATGCCCAAAACAAACACACCCAAATGTACGAAAATGAGAATATGAAGATGAATGACCAAACAACTTAAAAAAGGGAGAAACTTGATTTAACGTAGGAGTTGGCAAACGATTAATTAAATGAACTGCAGTAAAAAGTGCTTCACACCAAAATTGAGGAAGGACAGACGATACCAGTAAGAGGGTTTTTACCACATCAAGAAGATGGCGATTTTTCTTTCAGCAACACCGTTTTGCTGGGGCGTCGAAGGACAAGAATTCTGAGAGATGATACCTTTGCATTGAAGAAAGTCTTGAAATGCATTGGACATATATTCTCCTCTAGAATCAGATCGCAAGATCTTGATGCGGGTAGAGATTTGAGTCTCAAGAAAGGCAGGAAACACTTAAAGACCAAAAAATCTCTATTTTAGATCGTAAGAAATAAACCCAAGTAAAGTGATTAAAGTAATCAATGAACGTAACAAAGTACTTATAACGTGCATGAGATGCAACAGGTGAAATTCCCCAAACGTCACCGTGAATAATATCAAAACATTGTAAGACACGAGATTCATGAGAAGGAAAATGTAGAATTTTAATTTTACCAAGTTTGCATGCTGTACAATCAAAAAAGATATCGGTGGAAGAATGTGCTTTATTGCCCAATGGACCAAAATGAAATAAAGTACGAAGTACATCTGAGTTTGAGTGACCTAAACGTTTATGCCACAATTTATTTCTAGAATTAAAAGCATTACGTGCAAAGGAAAGTAAAGGAGAACTCGGTAATATTGGGGAAGGAGAAATGTACAAGGGAAAGAGTTGTCCCACTTTAGGCTCCTTCGCGATCATCTTCCCGGACATATGATACTGCACAACACAACCAGAACGAGAAAAATAGACATCACAATTGTTATCAACCAATTGACCAACAAAAATTAAATTCGTAGAGAGATCAGGAGACAAAAAAATATTAGTTAAGGAAGAAGAAAGATCACCAACAGCGCTGATAGGCAGGGAATTGCCATCAGCGGTGCGAATTTGTTGGTTCCCATCATAATTTCTGACATTGGAAAGAAGACCAACAGTATTGGTCATATGATTAGAAGCTCCAGAGTCAAAGAACCTTGGTGTAGAAGAAACTATACGAGTACCTAAGAGGTCAAAGGCAGAAAAAGCAGAATGGATCATCTGTTGTAGGGGTGAGTGTGGTCGGGTTTGCTAAGGCAGCAGAAGCAGGAGTGGGAACAACTGAGGAGGCAGCAGGCAATGTAGCAGAGCAATAGGCACCGGTGGAGGCATGATATGCAACACTATGCTTCCTTTCAGGGGAAATGGGACAAACAGAGATGTGATGACCCTGTTTCTTGCAGTAGTTACAGTACTTCTTAGGACAATTCCGAGCAATATGACCAAAAGCTTTACAACTATAGCACTGAATAGAACGCATGTCTCGATCTCTATTCTTTCGTTGTGCTGCATATGCCACAGTAATAGAACTAACAGTAGCCCCATATGCCATAGCAGCTTGAGTGACAATATGCTGCTCCTCACGAAGGAGTTCACCCAAACAATCATCCAAAGATGGTACGGGATGGCGATTCATCATAATAGAACGTGCAACTTCAAAGTCAGAACGTAGCTTCATTAAGAATTGATCTCTCTTGCTAGTCTCATGCACAGTTAGAATAGCAGATAAAGCCTCGGCGGGAACATTAGCATAAACAATATCTTAATACTCAGTCCAAAGATTTTGAAAACCAGAAAAATATTCCTCAATTGAGAGTATTACGTGTATAATTAGCTAACTCATATTCCAATTGAAACCTTCGAGCCGTGTAATCCTGTTTGTAAACCTTACTAAGATAATTCCACATATCAGTAGCAGTTTTATACGGTCTCAGATTGAGAACAAAGAAAGGCTCAATCGAACCAAGGATCTAAATTATAACCCTAGCATTCTTGATTTTTTGACGAAGCCTCCACGTCTTTAGGAGTGGGATCACTTCCATCAAGATGACCCTACAGCTCTTTTCCTTTGACAAATAATTGAAATTGAAACTCCCATGCCGAGTAATTTTTACCATTAAATTAGATATGAAAAGAATCTAAATTATCTGATAGCATGATGAACAAAATGGCCCCTTTAAAAATATAAACCTAGACCAACCAAGTGCTCAACAGTGAACCAAACAAGGTGCCAACCAGAATAATTATAAAAACTGTCCCTAAAACAACACAAATTGCTTTCCAGGACAATGAACGCGATGAACTTAACCAGAAGCAGTGAAAACGTCGACAAAAAATTCACAGGAATCCAAGAAATTCAAAACAATCAAGCTAAATTACCAAATAGAGATGAAACAATATGCACCTAGATGTCTAAATAACAAGTACCTAGTACAAAGAAACGCGAAGGAATTACCAGCTAGAGTCACAGAGGAGAAACACACATAAAGGGGGCCACAGTCATGTTGTCGACGACGGAGAGGAGAAGCTTGGGCTAAAGAAAAAAATAAAAGCCGGTTAGAAACCGAGCTCTGATACCATGTCAAAGAAGCCAAAATCTTGAGAGGGAGAGTTTGTAATTTTCTCCGAAAAATTCGTTCTCTATTTTCCCGTACTTTTGTCATACACATGTATATGTATAGTCTCTTTCTTTACAAGGAAATTGGAAGATATGAAATCCCTAAAAATCAGCTATAATTAACCGAAATATAATTTCCTTAATCATCTATGTTAACACTTGGTAATTTGCATCACTGTAACCAGTGTTGTCTAGTATACAATGCCAAACATGACACTGGTGTAAAGTACCTTGCCTCAAGATACTAGTCAATCACAAGAAGTGAGCTATTTACCCCGAGTGGTTGACCTCAAATTGATTAATTCGAGGCCTTCATTTTCCCCTCAAATAATAGTGTATTTTTATGATCCATAGGGACTCGGATCTAGATTACCCAGTTTCTTGTCATGCTTACAGTTTTTTATTTCTCATTTTCAGTAGAGTTTCATTAGACCCAGTTTCAATGGACCTGTGTAGTGGCTTTTCGATTTTTCCTACAAATCCTTTTCTGAATATTATGGTAACTTTTTACAGTCAGTGGAGCTTTGGAACATGTCGGAGAAGAGGACGATGACCCTTTCAGCTCATGAAGGATTGATCGCTTCTTTGGCTGCATCAACAGCCTCGGGTCTTGTAGCTTCCGCTGGTCACGACAAAATTGTTAAGCTCTGGAAATGACGACATCATCCTTAGTCTCCCATTTAATTCCTAGAATTTTTTTTTTTTTTTTTTGGCAGGATATCTACATATGTAGCTTGTGCTTGCTTTGTAAAAAATGATTCAGTTCTCCTGCAATTTTCTTACCAGTTTCCTTGTGAATTTTGTTAAGAGGAATTAGGAACCAACTCTGTACTGTTCTCATTTGACTGCTTTTTACCAGTGAAAATTTACCGTCTGCAGAAGCTCTAATGGGAATTAGGCTATAAATTGATTATGATTGAACTACTATGGTATGATATCCTGTATTGAACGATTTGCAGTTTTCTAAAGTACCCCTAGCCAAGGTGCGGGCGAAACACTCCACCTTGGCAGTGAGCGCGAATTAAGTAGTCAACTTGACAGTTGACAGCTTAATGGGAGCCCAGGCGAGCTTTATAAAAAAAAAAAAAAAAAAATTCCCCTTTTTTAAAAAGCTTTTTATTTGACTTTAGTTTCAAGTTTTAAATAATTGTCTGTATAAATGTCAAAAATGAAATTTGAAATTTGAAATTATGAAAAATAGTTTACCATTTGCATTTCAAAAATTTGAAAATTGTATAATTAGCTAATTGTAATAATTATTAATTAAATATAATATTTTATAATTTTAGATGTTTGGTTTATTAAATGATTTTTAGAAAGGTAATTTGGGATCGTAAAGCTTGAAGTTTGGTCTACACGTATAGTCATTAAATGATTTTTAGAAAGGTCTACACATATGTTTGGTTTATTAAATGATTTTTAGAATGGTAACATTAAAAATAACAATAAAAAATTATGCCTAGATTTCATCTGGGATCGTAAAGCTTGAAGTTTGGTCTACACGTATAGTCATGATTTATGCCTTTCAGATCAGTGAGGATTTGACGTTATTAAGAACATGATTTGAACCTACTCAATCACTGTTATAACATGCCACTTAAGAGGGTATTTGAGTAGGTAGTATTGGATCAGAAGGGGCAATGTAACTTATTTTTCTTTAATGTTGTTGAATATTGTAAATTTATCAAAATAAGCAATTCTACTAAATTTAGAAAAATACTATTATAAGTCGTAGTTAATCGATAATCCTCAAAATACTAGCATAAATGTTATTGTGGAAACATATTTTTTAAGTGAATGACTTTTGTAGAGCTTAATGGACTTTTATTGATTTTTATATACTTTTTTCAGAAATAAATTCTTGTACATGACATTATATGTCTAAAATTTATTCAACATCCTTGTTTTATTGAATAATACAAACAACATACTTCGACATGAAAATCTTTCAATTCAAATGAAAATATCACATGACACTCCCTCCCACCATCTGAAATCCTTAACTAATTAATAGAATAATTGATATAACTTTCTATAATACAACTAGATCTTATCTAATTTCATCAAACTATCGTCTCGATGTATACAACATTGTCTCTGAAAGACAAGAAGCACTGGAATAGATTATTCATTATGTAGATGTAGCAAATATTGGATTTCAAAATTTCTTACACGAGCCTTTGATTCATTCAAAGTTTGATATTACTTACAACTCGGATCAAATGGTATTAATATTTGTCAAAAGCAATCCAAATGCTACTTAAAATGCTCGTAAATGCGTGAATAATATACTGTAACTCTAAGAGCATTTTCAATGGGATTGTGGATTACACTAAAGAGTATGTCACATCATCGCAAAATATTTATATGACAAGAAAAAAAAAAAAACAAGAGAATCTTTAGCACATTCACCATTTAATTTTTATAATTTATCTTCGCTCTCTCTATCTCCTCTTTCTTGTGCACGAGGCTTACAATTTCTCTGATCCATTGTCTCATTGGAGATGCTCTTTTCTCCATTTTCATTTTGATTACCACATGTACAACAATCAACATTTATTGCATTAACTATAGCCGAATTTCTTGTTGCACGAATGACTATGCTGCTATCTCTATCACGGACTCAATAAAATTAAATTCTCCATGTGTATTCCTAATAAAATCAAACCATGATACATTAACCAGGATAAATCTCTACCTATTTATGAAAATTGTATACATGCGATACGTACCCTCTCATGAATCTTTTTGAGGGAATTCAAAAAGTATTGTAGACCTAACATTTAGTGGGATAACACTAGTTGTACATAATTTTTTATACATTAAGGTGTTCCACACATTCGATTGGGCTCCACCCCATGTGAATGTGGGACACGTTGATGTACAAAAAATTACATACACAAGCAAACCCCTATCTAGTGACATTTTTAAGTACATAATAGTGCATGAACTTACCTAAACTCTTCATTGTCCTGGGAACAAAAGTGATTTAGCATGCTCAACTGCAGAGTCTATAATGTTGAAGCCCTCATGCCACGTTAATTGGAGTAAATGGTGGAATCCTAGCAACTCCATAACCCGTGGATGCGAATACAACTGTTGAGCACGTGAAACGACCGTGGTTAATCACGTGATGTTGGCCCCACGTTTCCCGTGCACTGCCAACAAGCTCCACAACATTTGGAGCACGTAAATGAATTGTTGGTATACACGATTCTTCATTCTTCAGTTCATGCATCAGATACATATATAATTTTTTTAGTCGAAAATATTGACGCGATCAGACCATATATTTGAATCATGTAACTCATGGATGGAGCTGAAATCAAGAGGAATAATATGTTGAAGAATGAAGATCGATCGAGACAAGGGCGGACCCACATGGGGTCAAATGACCTCGCAAAGTTTTGGAATTATTATTATTATTATTTTTTTTTAGCCTAACAGCTACCCTCTCCAATTGCCAAATCCAATTTCCCAATAATAGCCCACACTTGTGAAAAGTCCAAATCCAATCACTATATCCATATCCATAATCTCATTCCCATAATCCATTTACTCATTTACCCAAATCCAATCCAGCTTATATAATGAGTTCCTATATTCCCAAATTAAATACCATATTTCCCAAATTGCCAATTACCAAACGTGAGTTGTGATTCGTCTTTCTTTTTAACTCGTTTTTTCCATTTTCCAGTTTTCTCTTCACCTTGGCCCTCCACCGGGCTGTCCCTAAGCGGCTCAACCCCTGCTATATAGGTTAGCCCCTACTGCTACTAGACTACGGACTACGATGAAAATCTTCATATTTGACCCCACAATTCGAAGTGTCTGGGTCCGCTCCTGGATCTAGAGGCTTGTCTCTATAAGGCTTTGGAAGAGTTGACATATATTTGAGAGCTTAATCATGTTTTAATTCTAACCTAATCCCATATTTATGAACTGAGATTCCTTGCATTTGATTTTCATTCTATTACAACGTTTAATTCTACTTATATGTTGTTTTAAATTTGGGTTATGCTGAACTTTTCCTCCATTAAATACTTGATATTTCAGACGCATCAATTTTTCTTTGTCAATGAGAATTAGACATCAAGAAATTCGACAAATATCAATTCACATAGACACGTACTTTCAAGTAGTTAAACAAGTAGTTCTCGCTATCTTTGACGAATCCAGAAATTCGAGTGAGCTAGGACGATCGTCGACCGTCGACGACCACAATTGCAAGATCATTTATTAATATTTAATTAAATAATATTAAATGGCGACACATTTCGATTCCTATTTACTATTGGGTTCCTGTGTCTTTATAAACCAGGCCAACGACCTGTCTTCTTTGTATTCTGCATGCTACTAGCCATGGGAGAAACTCAAGAAGACATTAATGGTGAGATTATGAAGTTAACTTAAATTACTGTCAGATATTGGAAATTTTCTTGCTGAATTTTATGCACTCAATTTATTTTTGCTTTTTAATTATTTCTTATTTTCTGCTTTTATCTTTTTCTATTTGCTCAGATTGATACAAATATATTCAATTATACTAAGTACAATGTTAAAGCTTATGGCATTGAAGAGATATTTCTACTTCGTTTTCCATTATTTACACCTTAACTACAACGCTGATTTAAGGTTCCAAAGCCAAAAATATTGAGATTTTAGTAGATTAATGTCTTCCATCTACTAAATGTTGAATTTAAGACCAAAGAAAATTATATTTACTAGAACAAAATTAGACTTCATACAATTTGGACACACACAACTTAATTGACTAACAATATAATATTTCTACTTAATGGACTATTAAATAAGTTCTAGCCCTCGTTTGGCCCCAATTTTTTGGAACTGAAAATGGGTGGATAGATTTTTTTTTTTTAAATGAGTGGTTAAAAAAAATATTTCGATTTACGTATAATATTATTTTATAAATGTGCGATTAAAAATAGGCAAGAAAAAAATGAAATTTAATGAAATTAATGTAATGAGATTCAAAAAGGGCTACTAACAATTTCACTTCTCTCTCTCTCTATGCACTCTTCCTCTTGATCTCACTTTCTCTTCTCTCATTAAACCCTGTCTCTCTCACCTTCTTTGCATACACACACACACAGACAAAATAGGCGGTGGAGTTGTATCTAGAGAATTCTACCAAAAAAAACCAGCTTTTTAATTCCTCCAGATTTTTCAAATGGTAGGCGATGTTTTTTTTTTTTTTTAATCTATTTTTTCACCAAATTTATTAAGAACAAAGATTATTGGTTTGGTGCTTAATGTTATTATTTTCTTCGTTAATAGTCAACTGATGTTTAATCTCAGCAGATCATCAGAAATTTGAAGAAGAAGAAGCAAACTATCTACCTGAAAATGCAGAAGGCCACCATCAATCTTCCTCTGGTCGGCCTCGACCGTACAATCAGTGGCTTAAAATGGCCATTTTATGGGCTATTTCTTCTCTCAGGACAGTCAGGAGCCATACTTTTAGGCAGATTGAGATTATATTTTATGAAAGGTAGAAACCGCAAGTGGTTGATAGCACTTTTAAGTAACGTGTGATTCCAGTTCTCATCCCATTCATTTTCATCTAAGAAAAAGGTTGTCTTTCGTCTTGAAAAAAGGCTGTCTCGCAGCCTGGGCGGCCGTCGAGGCTCGTCGAGTGCCTAGCTCCATCACTGCCCGCTATAAAAAAGTATAACTGAATAAATAAATATATATAAATAAAATAAGTAAAACATGTAAAGAAGAAAATTTATGTTTTTTTTAAGGGAAAATTGCAGTCGAAGTACCAAACCTTTCATTTATTAGCAGACTTTGCCTAAATCTTTGATTTGTGCCACCGTGAGTACCAAACCTTTAAAAAATATGTAGCTCAAGTCCAAAATGACAGTTTCCGTCTGTTTCACCTCAAAATCCGTCAGTTGATCCCAGAAATTAAAAATTTAATAATTTGACCGCATAGGACAAGGCTAAAATGGTCATTTTACCATTTTAATATTAATTAATTAATTAAACTATACACACACACACACATGTACATACAACCTCTGTATGTATTTCTTCTTTCTTCTCATCCCAAGCTGCCCAATAATGGGGAAAACCAGTCTCACCATATGCCACCCGCCACCCATCGCCGGTAGTGCCACCACCGTCCGGCCATACCCATAAATCATTGCCCCCACTCCCACCCGTAAAAAAATTGGAGTAAAAACCTCCCATTATCAAATCTCAAGTTCCCTATGGAATATGAATGGAAAATATTTAGGAGATTTAGAAATTGGAAAAGGAGCAATTTCTGATTTCCAATTCCAGGGTTTTTTGTGAGTTTTGATTTGGTGAAAATGAATTACAAAAGCTTTCAAGGGATGAAAATTAGGGTTTGAAAAACATGATTTCCTTAAGTGGTGGGTAGTTGTAGCACGCGACGGTGGGTGTTTGTAGCACGCGATGGTAGGTGATTGTAACAAGTGATGGTTGGTGGTGCTGTGTTTTGGTGGGGTTGAGGGATGGGGGTCGGGGTTGTTGGAGAAGATGACCAATTTTTCTTTTTTCCTTTTTTTTATTGTTTTATATTAAAATGGTAAAATGACCATTTTAACCTTGTCTTATCTGGCCAAATTATTAAATTTTAATTTCTGGGGTCAACTGAAAGATTTTGGGGTCAACTGACGGATTTTGAGGTCAAACAGACGGAAACCGTCATTTTGGACTTGAGCTGCATATTTTTTAAAGGTTTGGTACTCACGGTGGCACAAATCAAAGGTTTGGGCAAAGTCTGCTAATAAACGAAAGGTTTGGTACTTCGGCTGCAATTTTCCCTATTTTTAATTTACTTTTTGTTGGAGAAGAGGGATATTCTATGATATTTGAAGGATTTGCTAATATTGGATAATATTATGGCGCAATCACGATTTGGAAGTAATTCGTTATTTTCTTTCCTTGATTGCCTCATCCTAAATAAGGCAACATTGATGTAATGTGATTATATATGTTTTATTGTAAGCTCCAGACAAAGTTACAAGTTCCTATCTTCTCCCAAGGATGTAGGTTGCTACACAAGCGTCGAACCACATAAATTTTTGTATTCTTTTTAGTTTTATTGAATTCTTCATGGTATCAGAACGGATGTATTGATTTGGTCCATTGCTATTCAAACGTAATTCGTTTAGAAATTTAGAAACTCTTCCCAATCTCCACGAAAAGAGATTTTTTTTAATTTTTTTTTTGTCAGTTTTCCGTTACCTCCATTAAAATGGTTGTATCTTTCAAACCATAAATCTTAATTGTGCAAGCTCGGTGACGTTGGATTCATATGATACGGTTCTGGCTAATTGTGTTTCGGCCCATTTTTGGCCACATTTGTTGGCTCAAAATCATCCTCAAAGTCTGTTGTTCACGTTTTTCAATTTTCTGCTACTCCATTTTGGCATTTGCAATTTGTTTTTCAGTTTACATTGATTAAGAAAACAATTTATCTGCCAATAACAATGGAGAATGATGTTAATCCCGGATGAAAGGGCTTCATTAGTGGCACTTCCGCCTCTAGATATCCAACATATGAGGGTGGATATTGAATGATAAACTTGTTCGATCTTGGCTTCTAAATTCAATAGCAGGACTTATTGATGAAATCTTCACATTTTCAGAATTGATGGAAGACTTGTGGAATTTTGTTGAGGAAATTATGGAAAAAAAAATAATGCTACTAGAATCTTTAAATTGCAACGGAAAACTACTGTCGCTGAGTAATGAGATAAGCCATTCATCGAACACCTCAATAATCTTAGGAAGATGTGGGATGAATTGAGCATGTACCATCCACATACAACTAATGCAAAAATCTTACTAAAAAGGGCCGAAGAAGGTAAGATCTTTTCTTTGTTGAGAAGTTTGAGGCCAAAGTATGAGAATCTTTGGAGTCATATCCTTATGAGTTCTATGCTTCCAACCTTTTCGAGTGTGCGTGCAAGAAGAAACTTGAAAAAGTCGATGAATTCAAAAATAAAGAATATACCTGAGTCGTCTACTCTTACTGTAAAAAGAGATGAAAAAGGAAAACATTTCAAAACAGAAAAGATGAGAAGCTCCAAAATGTGACAACTATCACAAGCTAGGACACTCTAAGGACTATTGTTGGGAACTTCATCCTCATTTTAAGCCATCACTATGAAAAGAGAAAACATAGAACGTGCTGTTGTTGCTGATATTACCATTTCAATCAATCAATTGGCCTAAATTCTCCTACAACTCAGTAATCCTAGTCCCCTTACTCTAAAAGAATCAACTCCTTCCAATACTCATGCCTCTAGTAACCTTGAAGCTTATTTCTCTTTGTGTACATCTAAATATTTGAATATTTGGATTATTGATTTGGGTGCTACTGATCATCTGGCAAATGATGCAGCATCTTTGAATGATTAATCAAAAAATTCATCCAAACATGCCATTCCAGTCGCTGACGGTACATCAATTCCCATTTGTAGATCTAGAAAAAATTAATCTTTTTTCCTAGTCTTCCTAGTTCGGATAAACAAGTGATTTCTTCATTCCAACTCAACTTCTTTCTATTGGAAAAATTACTACCTCTTTAAATCGCAACGTTAATTTTTCTTCTAATGGCGTTGTGTTTCAGGATCAAACTTCAGGGAAGAAGATTGGTGAAGGTGTTTACTTACATGGACTTTATTTGTTGAAACCATTCAGTGCCACTTCTCTTTATAGTACTATGGTAGAAAATCATATTATGCATCAAGGATTTGGACTTCCTTTTAGTAGTGTTTTATGTTTCCATTTATGTCTTTTAGGACACATGGTTGTGATATTTGTCAATTTTCCGAACAAATCCATATACCATTTAATAATTCGTCATCTACATATGTTAAACCTTTTGAGTTAATTCATTTTGATTTGTGGGGGCCCTGTCGAATTGATTCATATGATGATTTTAAATATTTTGTGATGTTTATTGATAATTATTCTCGTGCTACTTGGATTTATTTATTGAAATTTAAGAACGAAATTTACCCTATTTTTAAGGATTTTCATAGCATGGTGGCTACTCAATTTGATTATAAAATCAAGATTTTCCATTTAGATAATGGTACTGAATTTACAAAGGGTCCACTCCCCGCCTTTCTTAGCGATGAAGGAATTATTCATCAAACTAGTTGTGTTCGTACACCCCAAAAAAATGGAATGGTTGAAAGAAAGAATAGACAGATTTCGGAGACTACGAGATCTCATGCTTCAAATGAATATTCCGAATAAATCTTGGTCACAAGCTTGATAAATAGGCTCCCAAGTCGTGTTACTCAGTCATCGGTAGAAGTCTTAAAACAAAGAAAACCTGGCATATCTCATCGTCGAGTATTTGTGTGTTTGTTATGTGCACCACTAGACTTTACATCACGCCAAATTTGATTTTAGTTCCATTTGATGCGTCTTCTTAGGATATTCTTCGACAAAAAAGAAATGTATGCCATGATCCTCAATATCAGAAGCTATTTATACCACAAGATATGAGATTTTCTAATAATTAACCATATTTTACAGTGTAGAGTTTGAATAGGAATTTACCTCAGGGGAGAGTTTGAACGATCTGCTTCGCTTCCCACTATATGAACATCTTCTTTCGACATTACGAGCAGTAACAGAAATGAAACAACGCTCTTCCTCATGCTCCTTTCTCTCTCTGCCTTAACTCTCTCTACTACCGTATATGCATATAATAAATTTGTGTGCAAAAGTTCTATCATAATGTCCCATATATATAGGTAATCATGACGTAGCCTATTTAGAGTGGTGTGTAAAGAAAGGAACCCTGAATGGCTGGAAATTAAATTAAAATTGGTATCAAAGTAGACTTTAGGTAAGAATGGGTTGTAATTTATAGAATAAAAATTGCATTCAAATAATTATTTCTACCAATCACGTGTAAATGACTTGCAAAATGATGAAGTCAACATTTATCCCAATCAAGAATAGGATTAGAATTACCAATTATATATAACTTCTTTGGACTTCAATATATTTGGCATAGCTTTTCCGGAGAAACGTTTTCTCGAGTCAAAGAGTTCTAATTAATTACAAGATTCGAAAGAGTACAATATCGATATGTTAAATCTTTTGTTTTGGTTTTTTTTTTTTTTTTTTTTTTTTTTTTTTTTTTTTTTTTTTTTTTTTTTTTTTTTTTTTTTTTTTTTTTATCAAAATCTAATAATTTGACCCTAAAAATATAAGGATTTACAACATATTTCACTTTAGTCATTTAACTTTTCATAATAAAAAAATATAGCATATAGAATAATTAAATTTTATTTTAAAATTTTCTGGACTTTACAATCTCCTCTCCTAAAAAGAATTTCAAATTACCTGAATTTGGTTCTTTTGTTGTCCTATGTTGAGTTAAAACTAAAACTCTAGCCTTTCCTTTCTTTCTTGCTCATTTTCTTTCTTCGAGGGGCCTTCTTTGTAGTTTTTAGCAAAATGACCAGTCTTACCGCATCGACAGTACACATTACTCCCAAATAAATATGGGTAGTGCTATAAGTACAGGAAAGAGGTCATAGAAACTATACAGGAATTCAAAATAAATGATGTGGCTACGGGGAAAAAAAAGAGTAAACAGAAAATGGGAAAGATCTAACCAAAACAATTCTTTCTAATTCCATTCATCA